AATTTAACATTTATACAAAAATTATTGAATTATATTAAGTCTTAGTGCAACTCACAGTTTTCAAATAATTTATTACAAATACTCTTAGTGGCCGCTTCATTCTTACCCACAGTACTGTGAAAAACAATCAATACACAGGAAATTTATTTCAATCATATGGGTGAAATATTAACATTTTGTCAATCTGCTGTTAATTTTATTGCTCTCTTCATGTGTGTAGTAGCTGTTAAATGAAGAAAATAAGATTTTCATACTGATATTTTGTCCCAGGTGGAAATGCTACCGCATTTCGTTCTGAAACAACTCTGTACAATCACATAATCAGAATGAATTCTTGTAAAACTTTGAATAAACTTGATACCTGTTTGAAGCTTGGCAACAGCTTGGTAAGCAACCTTAGCACCTGGAAGATACTTTTCAAAGGAATAACATAGAAACCGGCATATCTCAACTTTATTTACGTTAAGTTGTCCTTTTTCCCTTTACTTGGTGCAATGAAATATGTGTTATGAAAATGCTTTATTAAACAAGTTCTACTTTTATGGATAAACACATGCTTATGTAGAAACCAGACACTACATGATACTATGTGGATTAAAATAAAGATATTTGCTACTTATATGCTACTGCAAAGCATACTGGAAGAACTGAGAAGGACTACCAATGCACGGAGTAGTTAAAAAATATGGCTATGTTCCCGTGTTCAAAAGTATTAGCCACTAATCTCTGCTGACACTGTGACACAAAACCACATTACAGTATTGTCTAGTTGAGAAATTGCTCTCCAAATATATAGTAGGACTTTATCTTGCCCTCTTCTTCCCTTTAAAGGTGAAAAAAAGGAATTACGGAACAAATTATTCTCCTTTTCTGGAAGTTGCCTAATACAGACTCAGGATCAGGTACACTGAATTCAATCAGTTTCAGGGAAAAAAATGGAATAAAATTATGTAAACAACAAACCCCCTCATCACCCTGATGCAGGGTAAAAAACAAAATGGTTAATGGGACTTTCTCCAGGACCGAACAATAATCAGTTTTATCCTGAGGCTTTCCCATAGATATACATTATTGTGCATCAAGAAGATAAGAATCATGCCTTTTGGAGTAAGATCCTGCAGGTAATCAAAGTTCTCGACAGCAATGTTACATTTACTATTTTTGTTCTGCATTATCCACATCAGTTGCTCACGTTCCTGCATATTTCAGCTGTTCAGATAACAGAATGTGTATTTTACTAATACTATTTGATATAAAAAAACCCTTAGTAATTAGCAATCACATAATGCATTTGGCCACTAGACAGCATGAACCAGAAAAAATAATTCCTACAGATGTACCGACATCTGATGATAAATTTAAGACTAGATTTAGCTCCTGTTTTAAAAGTACTTACTACAGGTAAGAGGACACATTTTTCTTTAAAGTAGGTATCAATATCTTGGTCATGCTGAGAGGTAGCATCATTTATACATATCTGTATGTATACACACTATCATATGCATATTCAATATCCTTTGAAATATTTTCATTTATGTAAATTTAACTTGTATATTTAACCAAAACCCCAAAACAGACATCTGTGGGCAGATTTCTGGCAGGAAATAATTAGCTTCCAGGGTAACACATTAGAAATAAACACACATATAGCCAGCAAAGGTGAAGCTATCTTATTTAATAGCTTGCTTTGAGGTGCATTTAAACCTACTGTCTGCCATGAAGAAACTCAATACATCATCAAACGTGCCACTGCATTATCAAAAATGGCCAACTAGATGAAGCCACAATTGAAAAATAACTACATTTATTATTCTTTCTATATAAAATTCTTTTCATTAATGCTCAGCAACAGGCATTTGGCTGCTGAACTTTTTTTTTAAGCAGCAGTTAACAATGCAATTCACAAAACAAAGATAAGCTCAATGGTTTCCAGGAAACTGAAAGATGAAAGAATGCAGAGAGAGTCAGACATGATTTCAAATGAAGAACAAGTGAGCTAAGGTCAAACTAAAACCTAAAAGAAATTCAGCAAGAAACCAGATACATTTCAGTTGGATTGAAATTTCACAATGTATTTCAACAATGCATACAATACATTCTTTGGTATATTAATTCACTGGGGACAATTTTTTGTCAAAATAAAGGAGGAACTCAGATTCCAAAGCCCTTAGTTTCATTAATTCAAGCAGAATATTTAGCAGATTTTCTGGGTTTATATCGCATGTAAAGTAGGTTAAGGTTTTATCTTCCAGCTTTGTCTTGTGAGTTCACCCCCAGACTTACAGCATACATGAGGTAAACTGTAGTGGAAGAATCCATAAATGTTATAATTTCAGAAGCCCACACCTACTAAATAGCCTCCTTCAGAAATATGATGAATGTATTCCTCCCCCTTGAAGAGAAGATCAGAGTAAAACTACTATTACATGAATAAATTTGAATAATTCATTTTGCAGTAGCGAAGAAACATAGCATTCTACTGTACACACAAAAAAATGCTAATAAAGTTACCTTTACACCTACAATGCAAGTTATTCCCCAACACAGAGCTAAATTCTGCTTAGTTAAACTCTCCACAATTTCCACATAGGAAGCAAAACCAAAAACAAATACTTTGTCTGAGAGATTTTTTGAAGGACACTTAATGTAAGTTCTCTCTCAGACATTGAATTTGTAAAATACTGTGTTTTACAACAATCAAGCCCAGTATAACCATGCATTCAGAAACAGAATTCCAAACTGCTGGCAAACCACCTTCTCTACTCAGAGCAGAGAATTTATTTATAATTTTACACAGCAAATTATAGTGGTTAAGGAAAGAGTAAAGGAGAAATTGAAATGCAATGTGAATTTGAAAAACATGGATTTTAAATAGACAATTTTAAAGAAAGATAGAAGAATAACAGTGTTAAAAGCTGCACACCTGGACTCTTGCCAAAAGAGTCAATCTCTCACAACCTGTATTTTGTAACGCAGGAATGACAACTTTTTTTACCAGTCAAAATATCCCCTAGAACCATGCCTACGCATTCCTTCTCTGACATACAGTGAAGAGTGCCACCTATTGAATAAAAAACAGTATTTCCAGAAATCATTAAATTATTCTGGAAACATGCCATCTGTGTACTCCCTTCATCAAGCTAAGCATTCAGTTTAGCTTTTTATCAGGTAGTTTCCCAGCAGAGAGCAGTTTTGCCAAAATATAACTTTGGTATACAAACAAGGTGCCCCATCAACACTGCATAAGTTATCTGATTTAAGAAAAAATTTATTCAATTATGTGTGCTGCATTTAATAAAAAAAGAAAAGCAGTCTCTTCTAAGGTTGTTCTTTGTTCACACAAAAAATTGTACATTTTAATATATTTTACTGTACTGTATTAGAAGGAAAAAACTACTTTCTTTCAGACTTGAACACTTTATTTGCACTGACTACCAAAGTACCTTGCAAATGACCTAAAACAAATATTTCATATCCATATACCATGCTCTCAGTAATACTACAGAGCAGCAACTGCTAAGAAGACACAGTGTGCCCCCCTGAAGAAGCCTTACCAGGTGCTGCATAGTACACAGCAAGGCTAGTCTGGCCATGAGTTACACATCGGTACAGGTAACATTCTATATTTATAAACATTGTAAATCAGCATTACAGTCTATCAATTTAGAGCTTTAAATACCCACAATCTAGTCAAGGAAAAATGTGTGGTATGTTGCAAGAGTCTGCTGTAATATGATACCAAACAAAATTGCTATAACCCAACCAAGACTTGGAACTGACCCATTTATATACAAAACATTTGAATGAGTCAGCAGCCCACTGCATTTCCCAGGCCTGCTGTAGACTATCATACAATTCCCAGACGCACTTCCTCAGATTGTGCTTGCCTCATGAACAAGGTCAGTAGTGACAAAAAGTGATATAAAGGTCAATGGCTAGAAAAATATGACAATACACAGACATTTTATCTGTTTACCCATTAACCTATTCAATATACTGAAGTTCACAGAATTCCTCTATTTACTTGTCTCCTGTCTTTTAACTGTTTAATATAATAGAGCAGTGTATTAAAACAAAGTTCTACTGTTGTTTTGGTCTGTGAACAGATAAGAATTAAATATGCTGCCTTACTGTAGTCATACACAGACAAGTGAACAGCCTCTAAAACAATCACTGTTTCCTTTTCTGAAGTCTTTGTTCCCATACTCCATATATACTCCAGCACTGCCAGAATAAACTTTGCTTATGTAGAGTGGTTGAAGTTTTTGCAACCAGAGCGACAGTGCTATCGGTAATTGAGATTATACCACTGCAGTTATGCTGCTACCTGAACCACAAAGCTTTTGATCTGCACTGGGGATCCCTTTCTGAGGGTTATAAAAGATAACTGGAACAGTACTTGTCCTAACTCTGATTATTGCAGAGAGTAAACCTACTGCTGAATAAAGACCTCCACAAGCCAAAGTTAGGGTAGATGGATTTTTTGATCTGACGCAACAAACTCATATATTTATGTTTTTATGACTACATGAAAAACACTAAAATCAGCTACAAACAAGAAACAAATTTCTACAATGCACAACCATTAAAAAATACTATTTTTACTTCAATCTAATGATAATAAAGAAAGATTACCACAATAACTTAGTGTATACAACATTTCCATCAGACTTGGTCCTTCAAAGAACACCGAAGTATATGAGACATTAAAAAATCCTTCTAGGATGTTTATGCTATCCACCTCAGGGGAGGAAGAGAGGAGAATAGTATCTTTCACTTTGAAAGACACTACATTAATGGTAAGCACGCATTACAACTAAAAAATGTATTTCCCAGATTAAGAAAAATTATTTGAAACTTGCTTGCATATTTCTTTGGGGATTCCTCCAGAAATTGACATAAGGTTGCAAAATTTGACTTTATTTTAAGACAGATGGAATGATAAACTCCAAAGTTTTCAGACTGAGGGAAGAAAAATCCAACAAAAATAGGACACTTACAAGATTTCTCTCTAGAGATTCCAGTTTATGATCTATTTCTTTCAGACGATTCTGTTGATCACGTTTTTCCTTATTGTCTCGCAGAACCTTTTCACCTGGAACTGCTTCTAGGCTTCTGTTGGCATAAACCAGAGACTCCTGACAAAAGAAAGAACAGACAGAAGTTAAACACATGACTTTATACTGCTTCATAGCCAGATGGGTGTTCTTTTGATTTCTACTAGGAAACACAAAAATGTGTCAATGTCAAATTCTGCATACGCATAATTTTCATTATGCACGTTTTCAAATACAATAGCTAAATATCAGGCTGGACATATTTCAGTAAAAGAATTCTTCCCCTTTGCATTTTAAGAGGAATTTCTTAGTCTCCAGCACTAATACTTTGATGCTTAATTTCTACCACAACAATAAAAATGCACTGAGACTAGGGGAGACAGAATGACTGATTCAAAGTTTGATCTTATTAACCATACTGGGATCAGAATTAAGCCAGAAAGGAAAGGAAGAATTGAGCTGAAATGATGATAGTTTTTGTTTACTAGATATCACAGTAAATGAGAAATAATCCTTTCTCTGTAAGTTGTAGTTAGTTGCCCAACCATTATTAAAGATTCAGATTACACACTCTCACATCCTTCAGTAGTTTTGAATTGGACCCTGAAGTCCCAAATACATTCAAGGTTCGATATTACATGTAACTCAGTTCATTAAGATCGACAAGTATTGGCAAAACTGCAGTTATGTTGTGATTGGAAAAAAACAGAGCTTTCTTTTGCAAACCAAAGATTCTGTAGAAGAATTCAAGGGATACAAATAACAGCAGAGGGGAAAAAAACAAGCAAAATACCCTCCACCCAACTTGATAGTCAATTCAAACCAAAGAACAATCAGCAGCCATATAATAAAAACATACTCTATTTGTTCTTATTTTCAGAAGCAGCTCAAGGAATCTTAATAGACACACACAAGGAAAATAATTCCAAGTAGCATGTCTAATTGGAAAGAAAAACAACCTTGGCAATTCAACATTCAACACAAAATTTCTCAACTACAATATACAAAAGACTATATCTGTAAACAACTTCTAAACATCTAGAAAATCTATGAGTTCTGACATTTAAATCAAACTACTAGCTGCTTGAAAATAAACTTAAAACACTACAAATCTTACTTATGGTCAGCAATAGTTGGCAGTACTCCAATGACAGTAAATTTTCCCATAACAGACAGTCACATTTTCTGTTTCATTCTGTATTGCTTTCATAATTATTCCTAATAATCTATTTGAATATTTGACTACTATGGAACATTAACCTGCTGCTTTCACAGAAATAGTTGTCACAGTTTCATTTCTCTCATCCCTGAATAGTAACTGATCAGAATTCACACAATATAAGTAAAGTTAAGGCTTTTCTCACTTAGTAATATTTTTGTATTTTTCTCAAGATAGAATAAATGCAGAAAGTATTATATCAAGGAAAATATTTTATTGTCTATGTTTCAAATACTTCAAATTTTTCAATCCTTCATTATTTTATGTTTCAATTATACAGCACGTGTACATAGTGAAAGTCCATTTGAGATTACCTCATATGATTTTTAGATCTGTAGATAATAAGTGTTAAATATGTTTACACAAGACAAAATACAAGTACTTAGCAACAGACAAAGCTGTAACAAACATAATGCAAGAGTATTTGAAATGTCTAAAATTATTCATTGCGTTCCCTCTTCTCCAAAATTCTATAAATAAATAATAACAAAATCCCTCTTAATGAAATATATTAGTGTCATACAATCTTCCTGAGACATAAAACTGGCTGATCAGCTTATCAACCTGCTTCTAACCATGCCCTGAAACAGATATACCCATGAAACTCATTTGCTTTGGTGGAGGCAAAGAGCATAGGCTATCAGAGTTCATTAATTGAAAAATTAGTGTATATTCTATAATAATTTTGAGTACTTATTTAGTTTTAAACTGTTAACTATAGTCTACTTCCATAACTGAAAAAGGGAATATTTTTTGGATAAAAAATCCCAAACATGTATGAAAGAACTCCTCAAGGCAATACAATGTTGATTACCTTATCTTTTAACACAATCAAGCAAACAGAAATTATTGTTTCTTTACAATTAATGCCATTTATTAAAGATTTCAGAGTCACAGCACGGTTCCTATATCCTGTCAAAGCATCCATCAGTGTCAGAAAGCACATCTCTCACTGAGGCAGTGGTGATTGAGTGTTTCCATTTTGAAAGTTGTATCTAGTGCAATTCTTGGAAGAAAAGAACGTGCAGCTTTATAATATGCAACTCTAAGCTAATTCTGTTTTAATTACTTCTAAAATTCGAAATGAAAATCCCTTTTACATGCTGCAAAACAAAGTTGAAAGGCAACTGCTTTTCACGAATGAAAGGTATCGTAAGGAATTAACCACCTCTTTTTGGTTTTTAGGTTTAATATTATTCAAAATAGATAATACTTTACTGTTCAATCAGCATACACCTAAATGCCACTTTCTATTCAAATACTTCTGAGCTATTACCTGAAAGAAAGCAACAACAACCACTTGAACAAACATTCCCAAGCAGAGAGTTCATTATCACAGGCAGTTGCATTAACTTCAAGCTGATGTCTCGTAACACTGAACACAAGATCAGGCAATCATTGGCAAGCTCAGGTCCATGAAACTGAAGTTACTGGGTAACAACTGCATTTGCATAAGCCACTACCAGCTAGAGGGAGGTGCTCTTTCACATATTAAATCCCAGTTGGTAAATGATCAACATCAAAATGTTACTCCTCCAGAACTGAGCTACAGAAGATACCACTAGAGGTAAAACAAAGCCTCATGTTCAGAAATAAGTCAATACAAAAATTACATTAAAGTGACCTTAGAAAAAGAGGGAAAAAAAAACCCCACAGGTATTTTAGCCTTTTAAATAAATGTTTCTCATACACTGGTAACTCTCTCTGATATACCAGTTCTGGCCATAGAATGTAAATATTACAGAAGTAAACAAGTTTTGTGCAAAATAAGAATTATGTTTTTTTATTTTATGCCCCATTATAGTAGAGGCAATACTACTGGGGCATGGGATAAACTGGAGTCTTCTAAGCACAAAATTCAAACAATCACTTCCCAAGGCTGAGACCTTGATTCTTAATCTTCATGGGTTCTTAATATTGTTGGCAAGGGAAAAAGATGAAGGCCACTAAAAACAAGGGGCATACGATTCCAATCTATTTTCTACAGTCATTGCTTTATCTTTCTGATCACAAGTGAAGAAGCAGTTTTGGAATCCTGAGATAAGAAGAAACCTAATTCTTATTCCCAAAGATAAACTATCATTTGTTACTATGTTGAAAAAAACCCATGGGACCCTCACGCAGCTAAAAATGTCTGTTACCAACCCCTTAAAAAAAAAAAGTTCTAAAAGTGTGGAATCAAAAATGCTGAAAACAAGACAGTCCTTGAATTACATACCACTCAAAATAGCAACAAATTATTTTTCCATAGCCAAAATTTTTCACTTCATTCCTTATCACATATACTGGGAGAACAAACAGAAGATACTAAAGAAAAACGCAAAAGATACAGACAGACATATGCTGTATTGATCTCAACGCACACTTCAAACAAAAAACCTGCAGCATAAGCTCTGTTCTGTAACCTACCTGATAAATCTGGCTTGGAGGTTTTGAGAAAGAGCTGGAAATTGCAGAAAAATCCCCATCAGATAGTAGTGCTTGAAGCTTAATGTCTATTTCATTTAGGAGATGAAATTCCGTGGGTTCAGGTGTGTACCCTTCTCCTGGTGCTAGCCAGACAGATACATTCTCCTATTGAAAAGTACAGAAAATACTTAAACCTCATTCCCAAAGGAAAAAGACCTTAAAGGCAGTTACACATCAAGTGTATTTGTTCTTCAAATGAGCATACTTAAGAGTAAAATGTACATTTTCACCCATCTCACTATATAGCTGAAATCTCCCAAATATTCATGTACCTAGCACACTCAAAAGCAGATATAGACAGAATGAGTATAGGCATACATTTTTCATTTTAAAATATAACCAAGTAGCAAGTTAATATATATATAATTTTATTTTTAGAAAGCACATACATCTACATGCATTGTTAAAATCTAATAGCAAAAAACGTGCTGTGCTAACCTAAACAGACTTTTGCTACTATTATACTTATTTCTATCAAAATCCAAAGCCTGTTTCCTCAACAGACTAGTTGCTCAGAAGCCCTAAAATAAAATTGCTTAAAGCCAGATGCTTTGCCTTCATGCCAGCTGGCCAAAAAACAATCAGACAGATCCCAGGTTGCCCCTCCATTCTTCTCAAGGTTATACAACTACCTTGAACAAGTTCTTGTACAGCCAAAAGAAGCTCTTTGGATAGCCAATCCCTTTTTCTTAACCATACATCTTACTTAATAGCCTCTTAGCCAAGTTAGTCAAACCTTAAAAACAGTTTCATGCCATGCCATGCCAACCACAGCTCCCTTCCACAGATGCAAACTCTTCCCCTGTTGTGGTTTATATATTTGTTCAACATGGCAGACTCAGCTCCCTTTTGAAGGAATAATTTCTTGTCATTTCCTAACTTGCACAAACATCTTGCTGCTCAGTGCTGCACAGTAAGCATCACTTTCTGATGCCACTGACGTGAAAATCAATTTAGAAGTGTTTGCAAGATATTGCAGAGGATAGAGATGAAGAGGAAAGTGTCTGGCAGATTTAAGACCCACCAGTCCTAAAAGAGCAAACATAAAGAACATGTTATAAGCTCACATTTTCAATGCTAATATTGAAGTGGAAAAGCACAGCCCTCAGAATCTGCACTAGGAGTTTCCTCAACATCACCCTAAATCACTTCCGTTAGGTCAAGCATCTCAGCACTCCTTGCTTGCATGCTTATTATTTTACAGACTAAGTACAAGAAACAGCACAGAGCTGACCACATAACTGAAACAGCAAGGTATTTTTTGGTTTTAAAAAAGACAAATAAAAGTCCACAGGCATAATGAGATGTTCTTATCTACACCAAACACATCTTCTCGAACAACCCCAATAAACTTGCATCTCAAAGTCTGGTGGCAAATGCAGAGACATATCTATTCTGCTACATATTCAAACACACCTTCACAGCAGCGCTTTAGAAATCCAAATAAACTGGAACATAATACACTACTACTCTCTATTGTCCTCTGAAGGAAGTGGAAGCAACAGACCCCTGTGCAAGTCAAAGAAGGAAATACAATCAGCAGCTATGTCTAATAGGACAACTACTTTCCATCTGATAAAGGAGTCACAAAGAGAGAAAGCTTGACCAAAACTAGGCTTAGAATGGAACTGCAGAGATTGATGCTATGGCAGAAACCACCCAGAGCCAAATTTCAGAGGGAGGGTATGAGATGTAACATGACACTTGCAGCACATCACCAAAGAAGGAGACACAGCATCCATAGGAAATCAAAGGAACTGCTCTGAGGTCAGTAGTTGCCATCCTTCTAGAGGCCCAGAAAGACTGGGAGAGGCAGAAAGCAGAGAGTTCTTTTTCCTGATTGTGATTTACATGACTTTTTCCTCTTGATAGCAGTAACACCTGAATAACAAATATGAATATATACTCCTACTACAGACAGTTGCATAATGTGAGTGAGCTTGGCCCACTTAACCCAAGCAAATGAGCTCATACTCACAGATAGATGCAGGTTCTCCACAGCAACTTGGCACTCCTGCCTCAACACTCAGGGAAGGAAGTATGCACAACCACCATTCAATGGGCATGACAGTAGCAGATTACATCTCTGTCTTCACCACAATGAAACAGCAGATAAGACCGTAGAAGAGCAGGGATGTGGGGAAGGACATGAGTGTATTACTGGTTTCCTTTCTTTTTCCTACCCAGAATAGGGCAAGCACCTTGCCCTAAGACTCTAACATCTGTTTTGCAAAGAATTCATGTCCACCATTCTGTTACAGCTTCCAGATTAGTCCTTTGGCCATTCAAGCAGTTGCATCCATACAAGAGGAGGAAATATCAGCTTCCAACTTCAATACCATTGCTATGAGGTCATTTGTGGTTCATTCCCATTACCCTAAAGCACACTAGTTTCAAAAAGAAAAAAGCATACTCCAAACACTTGTCATAAATTGCCTCCATAATAAATTTAAAAAAAAATAAAAAAAATAGTCAAGAGAGAGTCATGCTTTTTGTGAAACAAAATCAGTTCTAATGCTTTCTCATACAAGTATGATGAGACACAACCAGTAAGCCTGACCGGACCCGACCTGATTCTAAAAGAGCCACTCACAAATGTCTTAGATGCTTCCCAGCTTTCTGGAAACGTCTGTTCAGGTGGGACAGTGGCCATCAAAACATAACTATCCAGCATGGTTCTACATTTGTGTCACATTAACCACCCCCTAATCAGAGAATGAAGATCACAGCGCAAATACACAGAAATTACTCTACAGGAGTCGATTAAGATGCAACTGGACTCATTAGCTACAGCTCAGTGTCTATATCCCATGCTCCAAATATCCAAATTACACCAGTAGTCACTTTACTTTAGGGTGAAATGGACTCACACATTCTCTTTTGTATTTTTAAGATGGTTTTGCTTGGAAAATAAGCTTCTGTCCTGTCAATGTTTCCTGTGTGTTAACTCAGAACAGTATTTTTATAACAGCACAGTCAGTGCTTACTGTGGAACATCTGAAACAAATTATACCCCTGCACCTTCAGCTTTGACAATTAGAATGAATATGTACTTGTAAAATATTTTAAAAACTCATAAAACACCTTTTTGAAAAGTGAGAAGTGCTGTTCGGATATCTGACATATTTAGTAGTATGAGTCCAGTGAAGTTATCTAATCCACATTACACTATACAGAAGAATTCATACAGCATAGCCAGATCTGCCTTGACTGAGAGCCTCCAAAACATTACTTTAGCCTATGTGATTGCACAAGCTTTTTAAAAGTCAGAATAAAATAAGATGAAAAAGGCCATCAGTTGGACAATTACCTGGGCCAGTTTGAAGTTGTCTAGATTACTCACTAGCTGATAATTTCCTCATGATCTTTGTTACAAAGCAGCTATAGGAAATGCCTCACCATAATAAAACTGAAATGTGGGAGAGGAAGAATCACCAGACTAGACAGGTTTAAGTAACTATTATCCTTTCTTCTATTCCATTTTGATAGTAGAATTAGGAGCTTTTTTCTTTGAAGAGATGATCTAGTATAGACCAGAGTAAGCCACAAATTACCATTCTTGTCCATGGCATAAGGAACACACAGCAACAACACACATGACCTGTGAGGCAATCTACTTCATAGCAGATATTAATAGTAAAATATCTATAGATACATGCCAAGATGATAGTGACATGTGCCAAATACAAAATGTGGGTAAAGGTTACACTTTCCCTTGCCTTGATGCCTCGATGCTTTGAGAATTGGTGCAAAAAAAGGTACACATTAGTCAGAATTTGCACTAGCTGTTCTGCATAAACGTCTCTGAATTTTGTGAAGGACATCAGCTTAAAGAAAAGGAAAACCTAATAACTACGCATTTTGAGAAAATACTTTTGCAATTAGTAAAATAAATTATACTAAAAAGGCCACTATTCCCTAGGTCAGAAAACTATGTTTACTAACATAAGGATGTTTAAAACATCTTCAGGTCTTTAAATGCTGACATTTATCAAATGGAGAACCATCTCCTCAAATTGAAACGTGTCCTTGATCAGGAAAGAACAGAAGAGACAGCATCGTTAATCAAACACTGACCTTTCCAACAAGAGGAGAAAAACAAAAACAAATCCCCCACAATCCTCTCCCTCCAGTTTCTTCCTATTCAAAGTCAGGATGAAGTAGTTTCAGCTGAACATTTTGTCACCCTTACATGGGTTTGCAATGCCAGGCCTGTTGCAAGCAGATCCAATAGAACACCTTCAATCTTTTCATAAATGCGCAGATAAAAGATTAAATAATGATCCAGTAAGCTTTAATTTTGTTCTTCTAATATGCAACAAATTAAAAGTAAAATAAGAATCAACTCTCCTAACCACAGATCAACATTAGACCAAAGAACTTCCATTGCATTTTTTTAATGCTAAACTATGTCAGCTAAGTCAAATAGCTCTGTGCAACATTATTAATTGATGAGTATTTTACACAGATAAAAAATTCAATCTGCAAGCTCAGTGTTCATGTTCAAAAAAATTATATTAGCATCTTATGTAAAGCGAGGGAACAAATGTCGGGTAAACAGGAAGACTGCTGCAATTTTACAGAACTTGAAGATTTTCATCTGATGAACACAAGCGCTGAGTGTGGCTGATAGTTTTAAACCTTTGTACATGAACAATCAACAATCAGCAAAGGATACATTATCTGTGCTGCTACTTTATCTTACTGTGAAAGAACAATTACTGTTAAAATACTGCACATTTATATAATCTTAATCATTTGTCCATCAGGTTTTCCTGACTGATACGGACTCCTTCACTTATATTTGCCCCACAAAGCTCTGAAAATGCCAAAACACAGTGTGTACTTACTAGTTTCCCTAGAGCAAAAAGATCCAATGACTGTCAACCTAGAAATCACACTGAAGTTGGGTAAATTACAGATCTGTTTAATGTCACAAACCATGGGTAGGCTAGTCCTCTGTTTCCATAACCAGTTTGGATTCAGATGGAAAAAAACAATAAGCTCATCTCCTTACCCCATATCCTGAAATAGTAATTTATAAAGATGTATTTTAGACATGTTTTAGAAAAGAGTAATGAATTGGATGTCTTCACGACCTTATTAGAATATAAATAGAACTAAAATATGGGAAGAAACAATTAAAAAATAATACTATTGCATTTGCTTTTGTTTCTCTCACACCTAAGTTGTTACTTAACCTACTGAAAAATAATTTACTCCAGATCATTTTTAGCTGTATAAATTAAACAGAAAGTGGACCTTGGATATATTTTTTCATCTATGCAGAATTCACATCTTTGTCCTTAGATACCATTGTTCAATGTATACTTACAAATGTAGTGAAGAAGTTCATAACATTACTGTAGACTTAACATAATGTAATTTTTAATGTAAAGCAAATTAGAAAAGCCACCTAATTTCTTTACACAAAGCATTTTTCCAACATTTCTTTTTACTTATTAAAATGCAAGTTTCTTGAAGAGTTATATCAAGTTTATATTGTTTGAGGACGTTCATTCTATAAAAACATGTATCTTTAGCATATCTGATACCATCTATAGTTGAAAAGTACTGTAAGTTCCCAGTATGATTCATTTTTCAAATAAAATTTTATCTTTCCATCCCAGCAGCTTTTGTAAAACAACAGAGCCTCCAAGAACATCTTCACTGTGATACTCCCCTCAAAGCAGTAAGACATAAAGGCCATCTCCAAGTAGCTGGGAGATCAAAAGATTATTTGATGTCTTCACATCCCTGGGAATCATTTTAGTGCTCAGGTTCTCCTAGAAGCAATGATTGGTGGGACAATCAAATATTCTTTTTTATTATCTGTGAGGAAAGGTATTTTTACCTACTTCAGTTCCTGCTGCAGTATGCAGACTGTACACTCTTTAACAATATTATATTAAAGTATAAATGACTAATACTTAAGCAGACTTTGTCCACTTTGTATACTTTTAAGACAGAGTTGGAAGCCACAGAAAGATGTCATGTTATCTTTCTAAATGGACATGTAAGCTTCATCAATGCATACTTCCTCAATTGCTGTATTTTTAAGGTCATGTCCTTAAAAAACTCTCGTTGGGAATATTCTGAAAATAGCTGCTGGCCCTTCTGCCTGAGACTACAGCACCAGCCATGCAGATTGATACTCCGTAACTTCACAGTTTATGCAGAATAAATAGGTCATCTACTCCGAGTGTAGTTCTAAGGCTCCTTCTACCTGTGCCTAACTTTTCTTTTAAGTTCTGCAGTTAGTAGAATTAACAAAGAAACCAATGCAAATTCATTCCTGGAGACAAATGCAAAAGGATTTGTCCAGCTTTTCTCTCTTATCTCAGTAGGGTATTCCATGGTAGGACTAAGATCAGTTTTAGATTTACTGTAAAAATAAGCTAAATACAACAGGACAGATTAAAGTTTTCATACCTCAAGACCTTGCAATTCAATTCCATCCTCTGTATCTTTCAATAGTTCAATTAGCCTTTTCCTTTCTCCCTCAAGCATTACAAACTGGTTTTCTGAATCCTTTGCTAGCTAAAATATTTACAAAAACAAAAAAATAAACACACTTTAGAACTCCATTAGCTCAAACATCATCAAAACAAAGTTTTTAAACTCCGTGAAATTAACATCCCAAACTTGCTTATTGCCATAATACAAAGTATCACTGACAGAAAAATATAGCAGCCTACATATAATAAATTTATAACCTTGTAATAGTCTGTGACATAGCAGGGAGGCAAATATTTTTCACTGGATGAGGAATCATTATACATAGTAGGTCTTCAAAGGAAAAAAAGCACAAAAATTGGGGGATGTATTTTCTGACAAAAAGAGGTCCCATGCACACTATACATAGAATCATAGAATCATAGAATCATAGAATCAGCTGGGTTGGAAGGGACCTCCGAGATCATCAAGTCCAACCCTTGATCCAACACCGCTGCGGTTACTAGACCATGGCACTCAGCACCACGTCCAGTCTCTTCTTAAAAACCTCCAGGGACAGAGAATCCACTACTTCCCTGGGCAGCCCATTCCAATGCCTGAGTACCCTCTCTGTAAAAAAATTCTTTCTAATATCCAACCTAAACCTCCCCTGGCACAACTTGAGACGGTGCCCTCTTGTCTTGCTGATAGTTGCCTGGGAGAACAGACCAACCCCCACCTGGCTACAACCTCCTGGCAGGGAGTTGTAGAGAGTGAGGAGGTCTCCCCTGAGCCTCCTCTTCTCCAGGCTAAACAACCCCAGCTCCTTCAGCCTCTCCTCATAGGACTTGTGCTCCAGTCCCTTCACCAGCCTTGTTTCTCTCCTCTGGACCTGCTCCAGCACCTCAATATCCTTCCTGAACTGAGGGGCCCAGAACTGGACACAGCACTCCAGGTGTGGCCTCACCAGCACTGAGTACAGGGGAAGAATCACTTCCTTGGACCTGCTGGCCACACTGTTCCTGATCCAGGCCAGGATGCCATTGGCCTTCTTGGCCACCTGGATGGATCCATGCTGGCTCATGTTCAGCTTCCTGTCAATCCAAACTCCCAGGTCCCTTTCTGCCTGGCTGCGCTCCAGCCCCTCTGTCCCCAGCCTGTAGCGCTGCAGGGGGTTGTTGTGACCAAAGTGCAGGACCCGGCACTTGGCCTTGTTGAACCTCATCCCGTTGGAATCAGCCCAACTCTCCAGTCTGTCCAGGTCCCTCTGCAGAGCCCTCCTGCCTTCCAGCTGATCGACACTCCCCCCCAACTTAGTGTCATCTGCAAATTTGCTGATGGTGGACTCCATCCCCTCATCTAAATCATTGATAAGGATATTAAACAGGACTGGGCCCAACACTGATCCCTGGGGGACACCACTAGTGATTGGTTGACAACTGGATGCAGCACCGTTCACCACCACTCTCTGGGCCCGGCCCTTCAGCCAGTTCCTGACCCAGCACATGAACAATCTGTATATCTATTCCTTATCTATGAATAAGGACATCTTCCTTTAACTTAACAGTAAATATAAGTCTTAGGAAATATTTGTTCTTAAAACAAGCTATGGCCAGGCACAAACAGAAAAATTCAGTTTCCAGTACTCTTTAGCAAATACACAGAAGCAGTATTATCCTCACCAATACGATCATCCAAGATGAAATCTACCTTATATAGTACTCTGCCATAAATAACAGTTCAAAGATAAAGGTTTTTAATTTATGTCTAATTAGCTTTTAATGTTCCTGATTTAAAAACACTGTCTCCAGAAGTACTTATAGACCAATATTTAGCTAACATTTAACAAAATGTAAATTATTTGACACTTTAATGCTTACCTCAATGTTCTTTTTAATGAAATCCTTGTTGCTTTTATTTTTGCTACGTGTTTTCTCTGCTGTTTTTTCTAATTCTGTTTCTAATTCACTTGGATAATCTGAAGTTTGAGGAAGAAAAGTTTCTAAGTTATAATCATTCCTATTCTGGTTCAGTAAGAGCTGTAATAACAGCAATCCCATTTAAACCTTTAGCAAACATATAAAGTTTATAGACAAACTTTTTGTATGGTGTTTTCATTATTTACATAAACAATATGGTTATATTTAAAACATAGCTATTGTCAAAATCTATTTTCATTTTTAACTTTTTATGATATGAGATCATTCAATGTTATAAAGGCTAAAATACTTTTGGATTTCTGACCTCAAAAATGTTAAACATGGTAGCCTTAAATCCACGGCATTCCTTCAAACCCTATCATCACTGCAGTTTTCTCATCAGGAAAAAAACAGACAATAATTTTTTGAAAACCACAGAACTATTTGGAGACATATCAAGTACATTTTTCTAAATAAAACAGCTGAAAAACAGATGATATAGTTGATATTATTATAACAGCTTATAAAACAAATTTTGTTAAAAAATAAAACTCATCACAGAGCTGTAAATCTATTAAACAGACACATGATATTCTAATAACAATGGGTTCTATCCATCACAAAAACGTGGGTATGTATTCTGTTTTTCAGAGACTTTTACGAGGCTTAAAATAACAATTCCTTTATGAACAGCAAATATTTATCACATTAAATAACAAGCCTAAGCAAATAGAACCAACTTCTAAATCTCAAGAACTACTTCAAAATTAGTCATGTCTATTTTTGCTTTTCTGGAAAGTAGAGGTTTGAAAAATGGGTCGGCTCTTTGCCTTCAAAAAACCAAATTTGACATGTTAGATAATAGAAGACAGGCTATGGAAGTTTACACAGAAGTAGATTTTTTTTACAGTGAAAAGATTGAAAGCAAACTCTCAAAGATATGAAATAAATTCCATGCATCCTTTTACACAAAAACCTTAAAGGACTGAAGTGTTGGATCTGACCAAGAAAACCTGTCACAGTTCAAATGCACAACTGTCTACTGAAAGCATCCCAAACTTTAACATTACCAGGCAACACCTTGAATCTGTTAAGAAACTGGATCATATAAGAACTTACCAATCAATATAAACAAGAGATGTCCTATTCTGAAATAAGCAGAACACACCAAACACCAACATAACAGTAAGATATACATTACTTTTAAACTATATCTTTCTCTTACTGTAGATAGCATTTTTGAGAGGGAACTACATGCAAAACATCTCAGAACATTCAAGTAAAGAATGGACAGACAGGATCACTGAGACAAAGAAAACACTGAAGATTGACATGGGTAAGTAAAAGAGAGATTGCAGCTCAACAAATTTTGCATATGAGTTTTGGTAGATTTGGTTCAAATTTCAAAGATTTGGTACCAATCTCAATGAGACTGCTGAAGCAATAATATCAAACTAATGCATACATTCTTCTTCCCAAGTTAAGCTCCTCTTAGGGTCTGCCTTTATGACAGCTGTGACACAGAAATCCAAAAGCAACCAAAACAGCAAGTCTTAGCTATTCAGATACCACATCATGAGTCTCCAGAAGAAATAGTAAAAGTCATTTAAGCAATGTATTGCCCACAAGCTGTAAGCGATCTCTACTTCACACGTTCCCAAATTAGGAGCATGTAGAACATCTCAAAATAGAGCAAGAGATCACAACTCCCAACCACCCCTATGTACTGGAAGCTGGAGAAGTCAGTGCTGTCCTGAATATTGGTAATGAAACCTATGTTGCTATTCAGTGGCACTCCAGCACAACTCAGAAACCTTGAAGGTGGAAGTTGAGGGTCAAGTTTCATTTTAAGGGAAGAATGAAGACACATGATAGGAATAGAGAGAAATGAAAAGCAAAGCACTGCTCCAGCCCACAAAGTTAAGGCTGCATATTGGTGGACTAAGTGATAAAATGAGGTCCGTGCTCAAAACCTAAAACATGCAGTCACATTCTACAAACTGCAGAGATTTTGATGCCATCAATGGTTCAGCCTTGAGGAACGCACGTTTATGTCCTTGTCATCTTAGCCAGTCACCAGGAAGATAGAGTCCTTCTGTTTACATAGAATGGTAGATGACAAAGAAATAAACAATTGCAGGTGATAGCAATGGCAACCAAAGCTATTTTTCATATGTCACAACACATGTGAAAAGTTACTCAACCACGCAAATTCGAATTTCAAAGAGGGAAACAACAGAGGTATAAATGCACAATTCCATTTATTTTAAAGTGTTGGACACACTACACTACTACCAGCATTTTAAATGTCTATACAGTGCACATTAACAAGTGATCTCTAAAAGAATCAGCAGGTGTTTGAGTTTCGCCAGAAAGTACTTAATCCATAAAAGCAATGCAGACTTTACAATAATCAGCATAACAAAATATAAAATAAGTTGTCTGAAGATTTATATTTGTCACAAATCCATACAATTTCTGCTGAAAAAAAACCCAAAACAGAATAGTTGCAACTATATACAGCACCACTCATCATTTTTATATGGTTTCTTGAATATAAGCCTACTAATTAAAGTTATGATACCCTAGAGTAACAGCAAAGACAATATTTTAAAGAATTTCCATGAAAAACCAATGATACATTTTAGCATATATCAGTTGCACACCTTTTCATTTTGAAATGAAAGGCAAATGGTTTTATAAACCCAAAAGTAAAAATTTTCTTAGCATGTTGAGTAAAATGTTTTAGATAAGTCACAAAACTATTCTCTTTTATCATTTGCAAAAAAAGTCAGAACTACTGCCATTCCAGTAAGCAACCTTGCTTTTTACCATTTCATTGGCCTATCCACAAAGGCCGAGTCTTCATTACCCACCCACTGCATGTTGTTTTGTCATATCCAAAAATACAAACTGTACAATTAATAAAGCTTACCCTTGCTTCGTTGGGCTTGATGACAATCATAATCTTCTGGATTCATTTGTGTGTGAACTACTGAAGTACATATTTCATTTTCTTTAGTATGGGAGGGATCTGTAAGGAATTTTTTCAGTAAAATTTAATTGAAGTGCATCTAAAAAAGATCTAGCTTCATGTGTATCGTGCTATAATATCTCACACATAAAAGTTAAAGAAATTCACTTGGATAAATTACATAAACACCTTACTTCTCAAGAAATAAAGAAGGGGGAAAGTGTAAGATGTGACTCATGAATAAGTATGCTGTTTCATATTTTTGTTTTTAACAACTACTGCCCATAGAGGACAATTAATCACATTCTCAAAGCCATAGCCCAAGGCCCTGAAGTTCAAATGCCTCTGCAGACACCATGTGGCGAATCATCTAGAAATTTGAATGAAAATGAAGTATCCAGGTTTTCACAGTTGGTGTCTGCCTATGCATGAATTATTAGACTTCCAAGTGGCTTAGGTCAAGGGTATAGTCTAGAAAAACAGCACCCTACTTGTTTCAGCCATGCAAAGAAAAGAAATCATAGTATTGGCATGTATCAACTAGAAATATAGCAGTAACTTCTAGTCTATACACCTAGCACTTACAGAAAAGAACTCATATTGCAAAGAACCACTTGAATTACGTGTTTTTCACAAGGAAAAAAACAAACAGTATCCAGTATTAGGAAGTGCAATGGACTCAAAAGTACGATTTTGATATACAGACCACTGGGTAATGAATTTAAGGCCATTTAATTAACTTCTGATTTACATTTCCGCTGTGAGTGTGCCAGAGGGTTTTGTTGTCCCTGACAGGCTGGGACACTTAAGTTATCAACAATTTTATACCTGGAACTTGTGTTTGATTTCACAGCCACATTAAAAACTATCATTAAATAGCTCCCCTATGTAATTTACTTAATAAAGCTCTATCAAATTCAAGTTCTGAAAAGCAAAATATATGAACTGCGTTCCATTGCAGTATCAACAAATGCAGCTATGAGGGCACTCATTTAAATAAATAAATACATACATAAATAAATAAGACCTTAAAAGTAAGGCACTAGCATATTACAAAAAGTTAAGATAACGATCAAGCTAGAGGAAAAATATAAATCTAAACTACACAGAGTTTTGTCAGTAAAGAACACCAGAAAACATATGATGCAGGAGTAACCTTTGAAAAAAAGGAGGTTTGTTAGCAGTCTTTCTTGTCTACTGTTTTTTTAATATATCCTGACATCTACTGGAGACTTTCTAAATATCACCTGTATCAAATTCTGTTTTGTTCCCTTAATAACCCAATTATTAGCATAGAAATAAAACCAGGTTACTTGCAATAGTAAGTTTTGCTTAAATGTTTTAATTACATATTGCTACCATTTATATGCATGTACATCCAACATTCAAGCTGAGACTTCTGCTCATTTATAACCATTCAGACCTCAAATCTTTGTTCTCTCCCCAACAAGGAAAAAGACAGGATGAACCAAAATTCTGCTTCCTTTCAGCCAAGAAACCCTTTCACCAAAGGTATACAGATGAAGGATGGGATGCAAAACATGCACATGATTGACACGTCTCTGAGAACTCCAGCATCCACACAGATTATTCAAACAGCAATTTTTTAAAAACCATTCTCGCGAAGATTTGACATGGTATATTCTTAACAAATTCGGTCTGGTTTTGTTCTCCCTCCTCCTGCAAAAAATCATGTGTGTTTGCCAATAACTTGAAAAATGCAGTCTTTACTTTTGTTGGACTTCCACCCTTCTAGAATATCCAGTTCTTTGAAAAAATGCAGTTTCTATAAGCAAAATTAATGGTAAAGTACAATTTCTACATTTGTGTTAATGCAAAAATTATGTCAGTTGATTTTTCAAATATTCCATTTATACACTTTTTTCATGCAAATATTATTCTATTGTAAAGGTTTGAAAGATTTGCTTTTCTCATATCCAACAAAAATATGAACAGTAATCAAAATATAGGATAATTATATAAGGGTATTTATTTCTTTTTACTTACCAGCTGTATCCTGCCACGGTGAGAACAAAGCTAAAAAAAGGTTTGTGTTTTCTATCTCCTCGTGGCCTCCTCTGGTTCTGATAGACTATTCAAAAGGAATAAAGTGTAAATATATAGATACATGCACATATTTAAAGTAAATTCTTTAAAGTGAAACACATCTGCTTATCAAATCTAATGAACTTCAGACCCTATTAAAAATTCCTTGTTCAGTGGCAACATTTACTTACTACTTTATTTTCTTCTCAAGGTTATCTGAACATCTGAATTTATGATAAAAGTACATATCATGGAACTTTAAAGTCTCTGTTACATATTATCTCTTATTTGGAGCCACATTTCACAAGTCAAAGAAGTTCTGTAACATATACGTGGCCCCAAATCCAAATCCAATGAAATTATGAGATGCAGTCAAACCAGTCATGTCTTTTTAGCAACTCACATTTGTATTCATGCAAAATATACAATACTTAACCTCAGAAGAAATACTAACCTGTTTCAAGGCTTAAAGTGGCATTTAATTGCTAGAGGTGAGAGTAGGAATAGTGTGAAGGAATTTGTGCTGTAACATTCTTATGCCTTTTTCAGGGGGCATCTCTATTTCTTCAACAATAGACAGTACTGAAATAGATAGGCTTAAGAATGGTCATACTAGAGCAGAATAAACGCTTTTCATCCTGGGTTCACAGACACTACCTCTTGTCACAACTTATCATACCTGCAAGTAGTGAACTGAAGCATAATACTATGCTAGTAGACCACACCTAGACAGCTGTATATTTGACAATCGGTCTTATCAATTTTTAAGGACCATGGCCTTTTTTCAAAGCCTGCCTAGCCAATATATATTAAAACCTATCCAATGTTAATTTTTAAAATTCATTTCTTCACTTTAATCAGTCAACTGGGAGTTAATTATTAAAATAATGCTTCTGTGAAATATAATATTCTATAAGACATTAGTCTAAGATTCACCATTCACAAAATAAGCAGAACACTCCTAACCTGAAGTTCTTCCCAGAGCACTGCCCTCATTTCTTTGCCTTGTTTTTTAATTGCTTTCTCCTTAAGATGTTGCTTTTCAAGTATTGTGTCAAGTTTATTCATTTTCTTTATAGCTGCTTGAATCTGAGGATCTACATCTGTGTCTTCAGAACATTTCAAGTTTGCTGTAGAATATATTTAAAATTAATGTTAGCTTGAAGTATGTCAACTCAAAAAAAGCCAAACAAACACTAAAAAGCACAACAAGTAATTTGCTAACAACAATAGACAAGAGTACAACTACTGTCAAGCACATATACCATGTTAACTTCTAAACCTGTTTGTAGCAGGGAAAAATACAGAAGTCTTTGCAACAGAATGCTGAATCAACCTCTGAGCTATAGCAGTTGGATACGGAGGTGTGGGAGAGGAAGACACACCCATTTTGGGCAAGTGATTTGATTCAAAGTTATACTGGAAGACTGACAACATCTCCACAGTATCAGCAAAAATCACAAAGTAAGCTTAAAAATAAAAAGAATGTCTTCAACCTGACAAGTAGAACATATGTTGAAATTAATAACTCTGGGGTTGAGACCGTCTAATATCTCTACCTTTAAATGTTACAGAAGTCTCAGTCTTGACTTATATCTCAGACAAATCAGATTCTGATAATGTTGCTATGAAAAATAGAAATTATGAAACATTATGAAAACTACCATTATTTAATTAAAGTAGATTTCTGTACTGTCTCTTTTTCTTTCCTAAATATGCAGACCACAATTTCTGATCACTTTCAGCTTCTCCCCTTCCTATAGCATCCTCATACCATGTCCTCTTTCCTGGCCAAACTTAGTTTCCACATCACAAGTAGAACACTTGTAGCACCGTCCCTATCCCACAGACTTCCAAATTTTGGAGTCCTTCAATACTCTCTTTCATTTTCTAATCTTCGAGGTCATTGATCCAAGCATTTATTGTAATGCATCGGTCTACTTTATGCCATAAAATAGATGAGTGACAAAACAAGGGGAAAGCTATAAAAGCTATAAAAATCTAAGTGAGCTCCAGGGAAACTCTAAGGACAGAGGGTAAAAAAAGAGCTCTTATTTCAACTGGCCTAAACCCAGCAGATGGGTTTAAATGACTGGGTTAAGTTTTGAGGTTAAATTCTATCCAATTTCTGTTCTGAAGAAAAAAGTATCATGCACTGCTGCACTGGAAAGAATCACCCCTGGATTCTGCCTGACCAAATGCAGGTAAAACTAAATTCTATCACAACATTAAAGAAAGTGAATATCCATTAATAAAACAATCTTTAAACAAAGAATTCATCCAACACCTCTTGAATAGCACAATGCATATATGTTTTCAATTTGTAGTATTTTTTTATAACTACATAATAGACACACAAATACACTTGAGTCCCAAACTCTCCTAGGAGCATTAATAAGAAAAGGAAAATGAAAAAGTTTTATTAAACTGTTCAATTTATACACCTGAAAAGCAATACCTGATTTTGCAGTACTTGGTTCTCCTTGGAAAGGTTCACAGAATTTCAAAGTCCATGTTTCAGTGTCTTCACAATCTGAATTAGAGCTATATCCTGAAAAACACAGGGAAAAGCCTTTCACAATAACCCAGATCCATTTTTTTGAGTTAAGGATCCCCAAAGAGCCTCTGCAGGGATTAGTTTAAAAAATGGTATGGACTAGTACGCCAGGACTCATGTTAAATGCAGGAGCAGGAATCAAGGGATTTCTTTTGGTCCCAATTCTTAACTAAATTTGAAGAAGGTATCCAAACTTCTGCTTCAAATACTGGCCTTTGCATCTCTATTTTTCAATAGTCAGAAGCTCCAGAAAGTTAATTCATTACCATTTACAGAATGAGAAGAATGCCATCCAAAGCACTGCTGCGAGTGCTTTAACTAAAATTACACATTGCATACTTATATTCAAAGTACTTTATTAGTATTAACAATATTCAGCTGTTAAATACTATAACTTATAACCATAAACCCAATTTTTTGGACAGGTTAGGATACACAGTTTCTAACTAATGATCATGATCTCTGTGAGACGTTTGATAAAAACACCTTAATGAATACACTTTCTAGCATGGTTCCATGGAACACACTGTATTTGGTTTGCATGGCCAGAGTTTGGTAGTGGGGGGGCTTCAGGGGTGGCTTCTGTGAGAAGCTGCCAGAAGGTTCCACCATGTCTGGCAGAGCCAATGTTAGCCGGCTCCAGGACACACCCGCTGCCGGACAAGGCCGAGCCAATCAGAATGACAGTAATGCCTCTGTGATAACATATTTAAGAAGGAAAAAAAGTTAAAGCGCAGATTTACCTGCGACCAGAGAACAGCAGAGTGGGAACTTGTGAGAGGAACAGCTCTGCAGACACCAAGGTCAATGGAGAAGGAGGGGAGAAGGTGCTCCAGGTGCCAGAGCTGAGGTTCCCCTGTAGCCCATTGTGCAGACCATGGTGGAGCAGCTGTGCCCCTGCAGCCCATGGGGGCCAATGGGTGAGCAGAGATCCACCTGCAGCCCATGGAGGAGACCTACGCCAGGGCTGGTGGGTGCCCAAAGGAGGTTGTGAACCAATGGAAGGCCCATGCTGGAGCAGGGTCCTGGTAGGACTCGTGGCCCTGTGGGGGACGCACGCTGGAGCAGCCTGTGCCTGAAGGACTGCACCCCGTGGAAAAGTGACCCATGCAAAAGTTACAGCAGTTCATGGAGAACGGTTGCCCGTGAGTTGGACTCATGTTGGAGAAGTTCATGGAGGACTGTCTCCCATGGGAGGGACCCCACAGTGGAGCGCAGAAAGACTCTTATCCCTGACCAGCAGCATCACAACCTGTGGCAAACTGACTGTAACCACCATTCCCTGTGCCGGTGGAGGGGAGGAGGTAGAGCTTGGGAAGGAGGGAGGGGTGGAAGGAAGGTGCTTGGGAAGGAGGGAGGGGTGGAAGGAAGGTGCTTTTAAGATTTATTTTACTTCTCATCTTGATCTGACTTTGTTACTAATAAATTCAGTTAATATGCTCATTTCGAGTCTGTTTTGCCCATGATGGTATCTGGTGAGTGATCTCTCCCTTGGACCTTATCTCAATCCATGAACCCTATGTTATATTTTCTCTCTTCTGTCCAGTTGCAGAGGGGATTGAGAGAGCCACTTTGGTGGGTGCCTGGCATCCAGCCTGGGTCAACCCACTGCTTTCTCCCAATCTTTTAGGCCATCACCAAGGTGCAGATCACAGCTTACGAGGCCACAAAAGATATGCTGTACTTTACTGACAGTAATAACCCATTTCTTCCAAAGATGGATTCCAAATAGTGAAGAGAAGTGAAGGTATGGATTTTGACACCTTCTTTTCTAGAATACCTATTTGCAAGCTCTTTTCCTTCCACCAATAGAATTTTACCCAAACTATACAAACCTCATATTTGGTCTAGTCCCAACACGAGAAAGTGTTAGTCATTTCCGCACCTGACAATTCGTTGGGATTCTGTATATATTTCTGAAGAGAGAAGGTCGTACTCTCCACTGTGGTTTGCTGATCTGTTCTTACTGCCTGGACATCAGATTTCTCTCTTTTGTTTTCTGCTGGACAGCAATCTTCTAGACTGCCTCTCTGATAACCATCAGTCACACTGACAAGTAAATCAACCTATGAAATGCAAATTATTACAACCATAAAGACAGAAATATTTTGGGAGAAGATTAAGGGTAATCACAATACTCACATGCTATCACAAAGGCCAACAACAATTCTGCACAATATTTAAGTGTACTTCTTAAATAAAAGAACCATTTTCAAGTCTGACACAGAGCTCAGTTCCTTAGTTATCACTTTGATTCTCAAGCTCGTCATTCCACAGACTGCCAAATCTGGGACTGCTACGCTAGGAAATTATTACAATTAATTACAAATAATTATTACACAGACAACCACACATGAGTCTGTGTGTAAAACAATCTCATCCATTTCCAGACACTGTGAATGCTCTGCAACGTGAAGCGTCCCAATCTCTTGCTCATACTACAAAGAAAGGCTGAAAAGCTCATGCTTAATTCATCACTCTCAAGAGATTACAATTTCCATTCGATAGCTGGTAAGTTTAGATCAGAACTTGGATTCAAAGTTATCTGCTGTTAACGTCAATACCCGACTGTGAATCTATAAAAAAATATTTTAATCTTTCTGTGAAGCATCTAAGTATGATCCCATTCTACAGACAAGTGAGCAGAGGTACAACACAATTGGACTAAGCTAAGTAAATCAATCTAAATCTCCAATTCCCAAGTCCTAGTTCCTACATCCCAACAAATTTATCTCATATCCCATCCCCAAATTAAGTTAATCTCCAATAATAATTTTCTCAGTGGATGGATGAACACCTACTTCCAATAGACTTTGCTAAATTCCCAGAGCTATTTCTTAGAATAGTATGAATTGGTTTTTAAACTTAACCCAAAAATACCCAGAGACAACTTTGTAGTCAAAAATTAAACTTGTGAGGATTGCTCAAATGATTTCTTTTAATCTTTCCAATTTAAATTTAAAAGCACAAATGGGATAAAAGTGAAATTATTCAGAGACTGCTCATGCATTAACAACTTATAGCTGTGCATTTACGTATTACTGACAGAATTTCAAATGTTTTTATCTTAAAACAGAATTTATTTAATAATACGATTAAATATAAAAAGGAAGACAACCAAGTTTTCCAGGTTGCAGTGCTAAATTACTCTTTTTGTGGCAAATATAAAAGTAACACAGATTCACCAAAATGAAATTAAAAATTATTCCATTGCTGCATAAGGAGCAGATCACATCATGAATGTTCACATAAGCCCTTAGCACACCTGCAGAGCCCAGAACTGCATATGAAGCTAAAAAGGTAGAACATTACCTTTTAGCATTCTTATGAAGAACTAGGTGTAGAGTTTCTAACCTGCTGAAGGTGAGAATTACCTTTTGCAAATGTGGCTCTGGTGTTAGTAACTCTATAGATGTATTCAAAGATCCACAATTGGGTTTTGAGCTAGATGCAGGCCTTGAAATGTCATCTGCGCTCCCACTTGTAATGTCCATTGTTACCTAAAATTGGGAAAAAATTCAAAAACAACCCTTCAAACTATCAGTTCCGTAGTAAAGCAATACAAATCTTGTACTATTTCAGATGTAGATCAAACAAGTTTCAAATCCTTTCTAGAAATTCCATATTGAGAGGTCTTTCCTATTTAGATCAGCTTGCTACTCAATTATACATTTTTTAATATAAGTGCAAATATACATTTATATCAAGCCAACCAAATTATTCAAATGTGCTTACTATCAAAGAAACTTCAAATGGTGTAAATCTTAAAAGTAATCTCACAATGGAGAAATTATCATGGTTCTTTTTTTTTCTTTTCTTAAAAACTACTGGACTGGCTAAGTTAGCACAAACAAAAGAATTAGGGCATTTTAGAGACATCTTGAACACAACTCAAGCAGCCAAAAGCTATTTATGTTAAACGGGGGAAGTTCCAAAGTCCAAATGATCACATTCCCCATCTCAGCTGTTTTGAGTTTAAACCACAGAAATGCATGTTCCTCTGCAAAAACTGTGTGAATTCCCAGGAACTAAACATCTTGAGTGTGCGACATGCGCTGGCAACTCTCTGAAGGCCCAAATGAATATAGCTCTTTATTTCAGCACAAGAAACGGAGCAAACCGAGTCCTGTACACAAGTCTGTAACATAACAAGGTATAAAAAGCGGGCAGAGAAGAAACAGAGTAGTTTGTATCCATTCACTTCACCTCGTGCATCCCGGGCTCATCCCACGCAGAGGCCTCTTTACACCAATCACCACGTGCCTCCACGGCCGATGAAGCTGCAGTCCCGCTTCCCACCGCGGCCAGCCGAGAGGCCCCCTATTCCCTGAGGAGTTCTGGCCTACACGAGGCCTCTGCCAGCAGCATGGCCCACAACACCCGTGGATTTTTTGGGAGGGAAGGCGGGCGGGACAGAAGAGCCCCGTTCTCACCGCGGGAGGGCGGCAGGACCCGCGGAGCCGCCGCCGCCGTTCCCATGACGACCGTCCCCGCGGGCTCTCGCGATAGCGGCACGTCCGCTCTGCCCGGGCGGTTCCGCTGGTGGTGCCGGGCCGGTCCCGCTGCTTCGCCGTCCTTGCCGGGGATGCAGGCATGGCCGAGCTGTCCCGCAGGGAGCCGCGATGGAGCTCTGCCCACTCCGCCCTGACAGAGAGAAGTGCTGCTTGAAGGGCGCCCTTCCTCTCCTCATGTCCCCCCGCAGGGCTGTGCCGGGCCCGTCTGAGCTACAGAAAAGTTACTGTACTGACCTTTCTAAACAGTGTCTCTCTGCTGTGAATTATTATTGCTTCTTTTGCTAGTCTTGTTTGTCTAGGCTCCTGCATTAATTGTGTCAGGTTTATTTGTCAACAAGGATAGGTGAATCACTTTAAAATAAACGTTAAAATTATTACTGTGGTCACCATTTTTTACTTGAATATTCACTGTTAGTAAGGAATCTAATTAATAGAGGAGTGTAATTGCCTTCCTAATCCCATCCCTTTTCATATCTTTTCTGCATTTAAACAATATGAGAGGGCTAATTCATGTGTTCTGATTAACTTGCAAAATTACTGGCTCCTACAACTAACTCTGATACTCGGGTACGTCAAAGCAGGTTTTCATTGGCAGCAAAAATTTACAGGAAACAGTTCAAAAAAACTAAGTGCATCTCATTCAAAGTAATAGAGTTTTCATTGATACTTATAGTATGGCATTTTACTGTCACTTTTGTCAGTAAGAGAGCACTTCGTTCCTTCTATTTAGTGTCATAACAATGCAATGTTGTTTACAGTTAACTGAAGACAAACACAAGAAATGCACTAGTGAACTCTCTGTGTTTTAGCCTCCTTCCTAAGCTCCAGGTATGTTAAAATTCTAACTTAAGTCTTGCAATTGCTAATGCAATACCACAGTGGTGTTAGGAACCTGTGGTGTTTTCCAGATGGTGCAGAGGATGATTTGAAGCAAAAAAATAGAAGAATTAACATTTACATCTGCATTTAAGGTATTTAAGTATTCAAGGCCAGTAATGGCGATGAGAAAGCAGTAAAATGGACAATATCATTCAGAACTGGCTAAACTAAAATCTGGCTTTTGCTGTATTAGGAATTGTTTAATATGTGCTCTATTTTCCCCCTCTAAGTCGTAGAATAATGAGTTTTAACTTTATTTTCTCCAGGTTTATTCTTGTGTAGTAAGATTTAGCCTTTAAATCTATTTGCACAGGCCAAAGTACACCAGGCTTTCTCTTCATAAATTCCCACAGCTTTGCTTTGTACTTCACTTTTGTTCTTGTGAGACACTGGATATTAATTATATATTTAAATAACTTTTTATTGACAAAAAAACTACATGCTGTGGTACTTTTCCACCTCTGCCACAGAAGGACCAATTTTTTCTGGAATCTTTCTTCTGTCTGATTTCAGGCAAGCTATATCTACTGTCCCATATCTGGACCCCTTGAAGACTGCTCCTTACTCCCAAGCTGAGAAGCTCTTGAATTAGCAAAAAGTGAAGTGCACTGAAACCAAAGAGGAAATGGAGAAAAACTTATTTTACACATACACACTTTTCTTTAAATATATTTTTATTAAAACATTTGCTTTTAATGCCTTGTAGAAATCCACAACCTTGGAATCATCAGAAGCTGGTGACTTTCTTCAAATATGTCAAAGGAAGAAAAGGTACATCTCCAAATTCTGCTTCAGCAGAATTTTCTGTCACTTTTAAGATTACTTGGCTGGATTTAGTAAGTTACCATGAACTTGTCAAGATTCTTCACCTTGTCCTGTTAAAAGTATGCTTTAAAGAAAACTACTTTCATAAACAGACAGTAACCACAGAAAACGGTTCAGCATGCAGCAAAGGGCTAAAGTACAGGAAAATCACAAGGAATAAACAGATATTGTAAGACTATGCTTTTAAGAAACTACCCAGAGAGACAACAGTGAATGCAGATGAAAGACTATTTGCAACTGAACAAGGATTAAAATGTCAGGGTTACAATACTTTTAGGTCACCTAACAGACAGATATAATTTAAAGTTCACATTCATTATAAACAAGACAATATGCCTGTGGTTATGAAGAGGGGCAAGCTGCAGCACAATGCCTGAGTTCTCACAGAAAGGCTCGTGTGCTGACGGCATGACTGTGGCTCACTCAGGAATCAGGCACCAGATTTGAAAGTCTCATGTTCATACACCAGGTGATCTACTCCGTGAGATGAGTGGAGCAGGATGGTTGGTATCTGTACCTGTGAAGGTAGAAGAAAAACCTCTCTACCTCTGTCAATTGTGAGAAACTGCATTAATTAACCTTTGTCTTTAGAGGTCTGTTACCAGCTTCTTCACTCACCAGTTCAGTTGTCACTGAGACACTCAGTGTCTATCTGTGTGAGTCTCTCTCTCTGTGAAACAGACTCAGAAACTAAGATTGTCACACTCAGAGAAAGGCTACTAGCATTTCAAACGCATTTCTTTCATTTGCTGGCTTTCCCATAAGAAAACAGCAGAGTGCATCAGCAGGTAAGTTTAAGGTTTGTGCCTTTGTTACTTACACAATGGATACATTACACTGTTGGAACATTTGTATATGCCCTTTATTACAGGATCAAAGTGTTCTATTTATGCCCTTGGCACATACATACTTGTTTATTGGAGTCAGGATTTGTCCTGGATGATCTCCAATCCAGTTTTTATTTAAAACTAGAAGAATATATCTGGGGTCTTTACAAAAAAGGTCTTTCTCAGGTTTCACACACATGATGATTTGGGTATCCTTGGCTTTGTGGAAGTTTTATGCCAGAAAACAGTGGTTTAGGTTTTTAAAAACTTTAGATGTTCGGCAGATGCTTAGTAACTAATTTGTGCAAAAAAATCCAGTAAGCTTTAACACTGATTGAATAAATGGGCTTAACGGAAAACAAATGCACTTAATAGTCCATTTTACTTCATTAATGAAATATGCAGAATCTTGCTACGTCTGTTTGCACCAGAGTAGGAACTACCCATGTTGTATGTCTGCTGCTCTCTGCAGCCTTTCCTATTAAGTTACTTTGATACCCAGTCCATTTTAATACAACATAAGATTTCCCAGAAAACTGACTGACGTATTTCCATAATTCAGCCATACAGAGTTCCCAAAGCCATATATACTTTTTGAAATTTAATCAGACAGGTATCATTGTAAGGATTTCAGAGATAAAATTTAAGAATTTCCATATTTCGATTTATTATTTTCATGAAATATTTCATATTAATAAGGAACACTTGTATATACATTTTCCTTTTGTTTGTTCATTTAAATTATATTTGGCACAAGAAAAAAATCAGCCTGAAACAAATTTCAACATAATAAAGATCCATGGGATCACATATATAATAGAAAGTGACCTTCCTCTGTCACTTCAAGCTCCTGCTCTTACTAAGAATCCACCTTGGGAAAGATACTGACTTTATTGTTTCTGCTGACTTTTCTCTCTGCTTTACACTTGGGCTGTTTTGTCTGGATTAGCTCTTCAGGGGTATTCCCCAGAGGAGGCAGGAGTCGCTTCTTACTGTTTCGGTTTTCTGAGAGCCACTGTGGAGGCAACTCAAAGGGTCCAAAACCAAACTGCATGGAATACTTGTCATTTATCGGATCAGCTTCTGTGGGCACAGCTGGGGCCACCTGAGCTGCAGAGTCTGCAACTGTCTGTGGTATAAATCTGTGAACCAAAGTCTGTCCTATCTCTAAACTGGTGGTAGGAATTTCTTTCTGCTGCAAGTCACCGGAGCCAATGGATTTGGTCTCATTCTCCTCATCTTCCATTGGCTTGAAGATTTGTTGTTGCCCGATATGAAACATCTCCAGAAGCTGGCTTCCCGAATGCACATTGGGCTCCAGATTATCATCCACAACACCACCTGAGCTGACAATGTTTCTCCTGCTAAACCTTCGGTGCAGCTGTACTATTGTCCCCACTAAGCACTTCCGTACTGATTTGTTAACAGTTAAAAATAACAAAGGGTTGGCCAGCAAAGAGACCTTGGGCAACCAAATGGCAGTGAGGAGCAAGAAGACTGAAATATCTGAAATATTGAGTATGGTGCGATAAATCACCAAAGTCACATACGGGACGCTGCAGAAAATAAAGATCATAACCATAGAAAGCAGCATGACATGAAGTTCAGCTTCTCGCTGGGAGGCATATGGGATAGACACTGTATTCTGAGGAGTCCTTAATGCAGCTATGATGACTTTTTTCTTCTGGCTGGCACTCAGTGCTCTGCGAATAAGAATCATAAAGAGAAATACCACAGCCACTGGTACAATCACAGTGGTGATGTTATAGATGATGACATATATCAGGTGGCCAAGGGAGTAACTCCAAGATTCAGAACAGGTGGACATGGCATAAATATCAAACACATTGGTCACAACAAATACTGGAATGCTGGCCACTATTGCATGGGCCCAGATATAGATAACCAGGTCTCGGGATTTTGCATCAGTTATTTTTCTTTCCAGAGGGTATAAAACAGAGTAGTATCTGTCAAAACAAAAATAAAATTATAATTGATACAATGCAAAGGGTGAAGTCTATAATGAGCATAGTCCTTTTGAAAAACTTCTCACAGGAGCTGTCTGAGCGTAACGTCCCAAATACCTAACTGGGTTGTCAACTGAGTACCTGCTTATGAAAGAAAAAAAAACCCAATGGTCTGCCTTTGCAGGTCTGTCTGTAGAAAAAAAATGAATATTGAAACTTCAGGATCACATTACTGGTAGTGAACAATTCTTTCAATAACTGAGACTATATCACTTTGGCTGATGCATGTGACTATTGTTTTGAAGATGTCATCATTTACTTGTAAACTAGAACAGTACATTGCACACAACTCAAAATTTCAAAAAACATGATGGGAGCACAGATATGTCACACTGAACAGTCAGACTCATAGTTAATTTTAAAAGCTGCTTTATGATAGATTTTTTTC